GAGAGTTCTGGAGGAAGGCCATTCAGAGCTCATATGTGCCACCACAAACTTGTTATGAACCTGGCCCTTTAGAGCTCATGATTGCACCATTTCTAGGATGGGCTCATCATGGTCCCAGGTGGCTGTGAGAATTGCAGCCCCCATATCCATGTTCCCGACAGTAAGATGAAAGAGGGAACCAAGAAGATGACAAAGGGTGTTTATTTTAAAGATGCTTCCTACCAGTTAATACACAATACTTCTTTCATTTCATTGGTCAAACCTGGTCACACTGCATTACCTAGAAGCAAGAGAGGATGGGAAAAGTACATTTATCTTAGGCAGCCATATGCCCTGCTAAAAATCAAGAAGACATTTAGGGCAGGCAATTAGTGATCTCTGTCACAGATGTCCTCCTTTCCCAGATCTTCTTGCATTGTCCTGGCATTCTGTGTTGCTGCCATGACCCAGTCTTTTTTTTTTTTTTCCTAAAAAAAATTTTTTTTAATTGACATATAAAATTGTATGTATTTATTGTGTACAACTTGATGTTTTGAAGTACATATACATTGTAGAATGGTTAAATCTAGCTAATTAATAAGTGCATTACCTCACATAGTTATCCTTTTTGTCATGAGAACACTTTTACCTGTCCCTTAGCATTTTTCAATAATATATTATATCATTAACTATAGTCACCATGTGTGATAGATCTCTTAAAATTATTCCTCCTATCTAACTGTAAATATGTATCCTTTGACCAATATCTTCCCAGCCCCCTTTTCCCCTTAACCTCCTCAGCCCCTGGTAACTACCATTCTACTCTTCACTTTTATGAGATCAACTTTTTTAGATTCCACATATGAGTGAGAAGCTTGTTTCTGTAGTGTAGTGGTTATCACGTTTGCCACACACATATGAGTGAGATCATGCAGTATTTGTTTTTGTGCCTGGCTCATTTCACTTAGATTCATCCACGTTGTCTCAAATGACAGGATTTTCTTCTTTTTTAAGACTGAATAATATTCCATTGTTTCTAAATATCATATTTTCCTTATCCATTCATCTGTTGATAGACACATAGTTTGATTCTCAATCTTGGCTATTGTGAATCATGCTACAATAAACATGGAAGTGCAAATATCTCTTTGATATACTGATTTCCTTTCCTTTGGATATACATACCCAGTAGTGTGATTGCTGGATCATTTGGTAATTCTATTTTTAATTTTTTGAGGAACTTTCATATTGTTTTCCATGTGGTTGTACTAATCTGCAGTCCCACCAACAGTGTGCAAAGGTTCCCGTTTCTTCACATTCTTGCCAACAATTATCTTTTGTCTTTTTGATAATAGCCATTCTAACAAAAGTGAGGTGATATCTCTTTGTGGTTTTGACTGGTTTTCCCTGATGATTAGTGATGTTGGTCATTTTTTCATATACCTGCTGGCCATTTGTGTCATCTTTTGAAAAATATCTATTCAGGACCTTTGACCATTTTTTAATCAGATTATTTGTTTTCTTGCTATTGAGTTGAGTTCCTTATATATTTTAGATATATAAGACGTATGGTATGCAAAAATTTCCTCCCATTCTGTAGGTTTTCTCTTCACTCTGTTGATTGTTTCCTTTGCTGTGCAGAGCTTTTTAGTTTGATATAATTCATTTGTCTATTTTTTGCTTTTGTTATGTTTTCTTAAGATCATGTTCAGGAAATTATTGCCCAAACCAATGTCATGAAGCTTTCCCCCTATGTTTTCTTCTAGCAGTTTTATAGTTTGGGGTTTTACATTTAAGTCTTTAGTCCATTTTGAGTTGATTTTTGTATATGGTGAGAAATACCATGGCCCAATCTTGTTAAAGCCAGTGACGTGGGCAGAGAGAGAGGAACACTATCTACCTTGTTACCTATTTGGGTTAGGTAAATGAGTCCCAGTGGCTTCTGTTGCCCAGGTACCCCTCTCAGCTGAGAAAAGTACTGGAAAGGTCAAGACAAGTAAATGTTGTTTGGGTGTTTTTGTTATACATGCTTTAACTTTCAAATCAAATTAAATCTATATTTTTAATGTTTCCCCTCAAATCAGCATTTACCTCCAAACTTTGGCATGTGTATTCAAAATGAACAAAGTTTGTTTAATATGAGTTCTTTGTTTTCTTGAGCATTCCAGAACATTTATGTAAATCTGATATTAAGTGACCAAGCTGTAATGAATCATTGCTTGTTAAAATACCACCTGCCTATATAGAGAGGTCAATCGTATGTGCCTCTTAAAGATGTTATAAAGGAGTACTGTTTTGACTCCTTTCATACCTAGATAGCCATATTTTTAGAATAAGAATATGTATTTTTCTGTAAAACTTTCAGGCAGAAACAAACAATTGGTAATTGTGCATGTAAATTTGGTGGCTATGTGCACACAGCATTACCACATGTGCTGATAACTGTTCTCTATTCACAATGCTGTTTGGGTATTTTCTGATATTAATTTGCTCATCACTTGGTTTGTGAAAATACAACTCTCCTGAAAGGTGGAATGGGAGGTAGACACACTTTTTTCTTGGGAAGCCTGATTCATATTTTCTTCCTATAGCATTTTTGTTATCAGAGCATAATGAAATGAGCATTGACTTATGGGTTTTGTTTTTTTTTTAGCACTGAGGATAAAATCAAGTCAATTATATGAAATATAAACTGAATGAATGTACTTAGTTATTGTAGTACCTTAGGTTTTATGTGGACTATCTATCATTCGAGAAGGTGTTAAGTGGCTTGTTAGATCATAATCCTGAAGTGAAATTTTGATACACAAATTGGATCTCTTAGAAATTTCTTACATTTAAAGGTAATATTTTTATATCCTTTTTAAACCTTAAATATATTACATTTTATATGCTTAAAAGTAATCTATAGGCCTTTAAGATACCTAAGGATCAGGCTCAGTTTTTCCTTCTTATTTATTTCATTTCTAACAATAACCAGGAGGCAACCTCCATGGTATAATGGAGAGATCATGGACCTTACATTTGGGCAGAATGGCTACAAATCCCATCTCTTCACCCAAGCTCTGAGATCTTGGCAAGACTCTTAAATCTCTCTGAGCCTTACTTTCTTTATTTGCAGAATGGAGACACATTTGACTATTCTTGAATAACTCTGAAAACCTATGTAGTACGAGGGCACATCAAAAAGTTCATGGAATGGGCCGGCCCGGTGGCGCACTGGATAGTGCGCCGCTTGGGAAGTGCGGCGGCGCTCCCGTCCGAGGGTTCGGATCCCACATACAGACCGGCTCCCGCTCACTGGCTGAGCGAGGCGCGGGAGCAACACCGAGGGTTGCGATCCCGTTGCCGGTCCCCGGTCCGGTACGGGGGCAACACTGAGGGTTGCGATCCGTTGCCGGACACGGAAAAAAAGACAAAAAAAAAAAAAAAAGTAATTTTTGTTTATATTCCGATTACCATTTCTCTTTTCTTCCTTCACAAACTTGACTCTTATTTGATAGTTGTGGAAAAGTTATTTTTAACTATTGTATATTTCCAACCCCATAAATTACCTAAAAATGGCCTAGTGACTTAGTCGGGTCTGCACTGTATGTAGCATAGCCAATTCTACTACTATGTTTGGAGGGTGCACTGGATTTTGCTAAAAACACTATAGAAAGAAACTAAAAGCTCTTCTGGTTCTGGCCCACAGAGAGCAAATCTAGTCTTGGTTTAGTACCAGAAGTTCCCTAGGAGACCAGATCTGAACTCCTGCTCCCAAAGTCCTACCTATACTTTGTATATGGCCCAAGTTGTCAGATCCATTTCAAACGTGAACTGCTGTATCTGACAATTTTAAAGGACTAGGTGGGAAGGTGTGGATTTTGGCTCATCTTCCCCTGCTGCCCAGTACCAGCTGAGGGAGTAAGTAGTCTTCAACTTCTTTTCCTTGTTTGCCTCACAGAACTGCCAGATCTGAGAATGGGTAAAGCACTAGATTGGACAGCTGTTTTCCTCCCATTAATTTTATGACAGTTGGGACCATAACCATATTCAATTTTCTCTCTGCATTTTCATAAAAAATCTTACAGGTATAGTCTACAGGGCACATGTTTTCCAATCCTCCGTATGTCATTCAATCATCCCAACAATGAATTTTACTTTTAGGTCATTGGAAGTAAATCATATGTCATGGGGATTGTATTAGTTAAGCCCCTGTAATAAAGAGGATCAAAACAGATCTGTCCCCTGAGATTATTCACACATCCAAGCTGATGAGTGCCTCTACCATACCTAACTCAAGGTTTCCAGGGTTGTCCAACCATCATCATTTCTAGCCCACAGAAAAGAGATAAGAGTAGCAACCAGGGCAAGCAATTTCCTTTCAAGCAAATGACATGGAAGTTATATACATTACTTATGCTCAAATTCTGTCGGCAAATACTTGGTCATATGGCACATCTGGCTTCAAGGGAAGCTCCTAGGGCTAGATCTGAAGCTGTCCTTTCAATCCCAGAGAACTCACCATCTGTGCCAATGTCTTCTACAACTACTTAGAGGCAAACCCTAATGTAAATACTAGTGGTCAGATAACCTTTCAGTGGGTGCACATGTTCCCAGCTGCTCTCAATTACCATGGAACCAAAGAATAGAAAGCTGTGGTTAACAAGCATTCTGTTACGATGGTGAAACTAAGACTATGACCTTTTGTCATCCAGATTGAAAAAGGGAAATTTTGAGGGGAAAATAATGCCGAGCAGTGTGAGCATGGTTAAAATGAAATGTCTCCTTTTCTAGTGAATTTAGAAGCATTCAGAATAGCTGAAGCAAAATAAAAGGAATTCTCTTAAATCTACAGACTGGTAAATGCCAGTCAGAGTTTCCTGTTATGCTCTCATAGGATAGGTAGCCATGCTTAAACTACATGTTACCTCTGTAGTATATCTCCCTCGAAGTCCTTTACAAGATTATTGAAAATTCAGAGACTTGCTCTAGGAAGCCGTACAGATGGATAACCAAGCATTTCTTTTCTTTTGTCCAAGGATACACTTGAAATGTGCACTAAGGAGCAGGAGTTTAAAAGCATCCTCTTTTCTCTGTGCTACTTCCATGCCTGTGTTGCTGGGAGACTGAGGTTTGGCCCCCAGGGCTGGAGCCGAAGCTATCCTTTCAATCTTGGAGACCTGACCATTTGTGCCAATGTCCTCTACAACTACTTAGAGGCAAACCCTAATGTAAGTACTAGTGGTCAGATAACCTCTTCCAAGGAGTGTACTGAATATGTCAATCTTTGGGCACTATCAGAATGGACCATAATTTCTCTTTGAAGCTATTATTGAAATAGCTAGCACTATATATGCATCTTCTGCCAAGTGTGAAAATAAACCAAATCAAAGGTTCTCCAGCAGTGGATGCTCGAACTTCATAAGATAGGTCAAACCAGTTCTACATCAGCAGCTTAGTGCAAAAAAAAAAAAAAAAGTCCTTCATTATGTTAACAAAAACAGTGGTTTACATGTGCATATATGCCAGATTCATTAGGCAGGTAATGAAGCATTTGCACAAATGTAATTACATACAGCAATTCTGACAGTTCATAACACTGCATTAATAATCACTACAATTAGTTCTGATGATGGAAGCAATTTACAGCGCGTCACATGTATAAATAATGGTGCATTTCCTGCATATGTCATTATTATGTATTAAGGATGCCACCTTGTTGTGACTTTCTCAACAATGTTCCCCTTGATTTGAAGTTAAAGCTAGATGAATGATTGTATTTCATAGCTAAAATGTTTTACAGGTGGGAATGGGAATGCCTCATCAAGAACAGTTGTGTAAACTCTTATATACCCAATGATTGGTTTTCAAAATGGAAGAACCATTCATTCCTAAGGATTTTCTGGCTTAATCCTCATGAGGGAAATTTTTTCCATTAAGTTAAATCTGTTAAAATCGGGATATATTTGTCAAAACCAACCAGGTGTTGTGCTGTATGCCACACTTTCTATAAAGGACCTTTAAGATCACCCATCCATGTTTCTAAGTAGACATGGTTGTTTTATGTTCTTTTGGTAACAGTTGTTACAATTTTTGTTGTCAAAGTTTTTTCAAGCTTCAGTGGTTAATTTGAGTGCTCTCAGAATATGGACGCTTGCTGGGCCAGCCCGGTGGCGCACTGCTACAGTGCGCCACTTGGGAGCGCAGCGGCGCTCCCGCCGAGGGTTTGGATCCCACATACAGACCGGTTCCCGCTCACTGGCTGAGCGAGGTGCAGGCGCAGCGCCAAGGGTTGCAATCCCGTTGCCGGTCCCGGTCCGGTACGGGCGCGACACTGAGGGTTGCGATCCATTGCCGGACACGAAAAAAGACAAAAAGGAAAAAAAAAAAAAAGAGAATATGGACGCTTGCTACATAACATGGGTGTGTTCTCCCAAGGAACAAATTTTGAATCAGTTGTATCCCAAATAATTGACTTTAATATGTGATGATCAATATAGCATATTTATTACTTTTTTAAAATTTATAAAATTAAAGAGTAAATCCACACACTTTGAGCATATTTTGACCACTGCAAAAAAAAATAATATTTTTGTGATCTCAGCATGTTTTTTTTTAACTGTTGCACATAAAATTATTATAATAGTTCTAGGTAGAAAAAGAAATAGACAATTTAGTACTTTTATTCAGGTTCTTCCTAGCCATCCCATGAGGCTGAGACCAGGAATACTATACTATTTCATTTGAATCCTAAACACAATTAGGGTAGAAATGAAGGGGAGTAAGAGAGTTGACACTTGTGTTTGTCTCCAGCTCTCTCATGAGTCTTGGCAACAACAGTTGACCAACTGAATCATGATGTGTCCTGCAGCTTCTCCCACTCAGGTTCCAGGATCAACACAGCCTTGGGATTTTAACACACACTCTGTTGTCTCGACCCAAGTTATTTGCCACACATCACAAAGCAAGTTATCAGGATTTGGGAATTAAATGATTATGTGCACATAGTTTGGTTATGGAACATGCCCTCTTTAAGAAGGTACATGAGAAAAACAAAGACCAGGATTTGGGGAAAGAGAATCAATTACTGATAACAATAGCTCTCTAGCTGATTAAAATCTTGAGGGAGATACATATTGAATACTGAAATGTAGAGCAGGCATTAATTAAATGTAATCAGAAAGGAAAATAGAATTAAGAAGTCTTTGTTTCCCACCCATTTCAGCTACTTATAAGGCAGTCCATGGAGGGGGAGAGAGCACATGTTAGCCTAGGCACTTCTCTTTTATTTTTCATTCATATAAAAACCAGCTTAAGAGAAAGACATATTTGAGGTTCATTTATTCAAATTCAAATAAACTTGTAGCAAGTACATTGGAATAGTCGAAGCAATTTTACTTGTTCTGTCACATCATGCAACAGATGAAGGCTATAATTACATTTTTACTTGAACTGCTGGGAGGCAATATACTGCCCCGAGGGTATAAAGGTTCCTGTCTAGAAAGGCTTCATTGCAAACTGGCATGTTTTGCAAACCCAGAGGAAGCTAAAGGGTAGCAAAGAGAGGCTTCAAACCCTGCTAAGCCAAATAAAGAGGAGATACAGTAATTTCTTGAATAACACATGGTACAGTCATTAGTTACCACCCTTAGAACAGTCATTAGGCCAGTCATGCCATAAACTAAGCCCTCAAATCCATCTGTGGCAAGGGGATTTGCATGCCTGGACTTTTGGAAAATGACAGAATTCTAAATACACTCCAAATCCAATTTGTGTGGATTTTTTTTCTTGTCCTAAATCAGATAATAAAAACCAATTTAAATCAGATAATGAAAACGTGTAATATTTCCAAGGCTCTGTGACCCAACATCCTCTTATGATTTTTGGATGAGATTTTGAATGTATAAACTTTCCCTGTCTAACATGTTCTAGGAATGACTCAGTTTCCTTTAAAATCTCATAAAAAGCTCAGTGTTAGAGCATTTCCACTGAATGTATCAGAATACACTGAAAATAACTCTCTAAAGAAATTCTACACAGAAATGTACACAATTTCTGAACCATTTTTAATGCTACTATTGGTAAGGGCTTTGGGGTCACTGTGATCAAGGGGTGTGTGCTGCTGCATGGCCATTCTGAGGCACATACCTTGGACCCAGAAGTGAACATTTGCGTGACCTACCCATCTCCACCCCCAGGTCCCATGGGAAGACCTCCGTTATCTCTTTGGTGAGATCATGTATGGGGGCCACATCACGGATGACTGGGATCGCAAGCTATGTCATGTATATTTAGAAGAATTCATGAATCCATCTCTAGTAAGTCATTTGAAAATTAATTTTACTGAGGAGAAAATTCTGGTAAGAAATTTAAAAATTAATGTAACTTTATAGATAATTCTTAAATATTATTGAGGGTTCTTGGCCTTTTGTGAGTGTATTCTGGCTTGCCTTCATGGGAGTTTGGAAATTTGTTAATTTGTTAGAAATGCAGACTCTTGGGCCCCATCCCATGCCTATAGAATCAGAATCTGCGGGCTGGCCCGGTGGCACACTGCTACAGTGCGCCACTTGGGAGCGCGGCAGCGCTCCCGCCGAGGGTTTGGATCCCACATACAGACCGGTTCCCACTCACTGGCTGAGCGAGGTGTGAGCGCAGCACTGAGGGTTGCGATCCGTTGCCGGACACGAAAAAAGACAAAAAGGAAAAAAAAAAAAAAGAATCAGAATCTGCATTTTAACAAGACTCCCTCAGGTGATTTCTGTGCATCTTAGAATGTGAAGCACTCTTGCATGCACTGACTCATTGGATATTTATAATAACCCTGTGAGGTATGCAGAGCTGACACTCTTACTCCATTTTATAGACCAGAATACTGAGGCATGATCTGACACAGGCCACTAAGTATGGGCACTTCTTTTGATTTCAATTCCAGGGCTCATTTCACTACAGTTTTTCTTCGCCTATCACAGAAGTCATAGAATATTCTAAATTTTGATCACTAACACCTTACTAAATATGTGCTCAAGAAAAATGTGGTGAATAAGTATGTGAGGTGATGAATTTGTTAATTATCTTGACTTAATCATTCCATAATGTAAGCATGTATCAAAACATCACATTGTACCCCATAAGTAGATACAATTATGTTGTCAAAATAACTATACTACCCAAAGCAATCTATAGATTCAATGTAATCCCTATCAAAATACCAATGATATTCTTCATAAAAATGGGGAAAAAAATCCTGAAATTCATATGGAACCACAAAAGACCCTAAATAGTCAAAGTAATCCTGGGCAAAAAAATCAAAGCTGGAGGCATTACACTACCCTACTCCAAAATATACTACAAAGATACAATAGTCAAAATAGCATGGTAGTAGCATAAAAATGGACACATGGACCATTAGAACGGAATAGAGAACCTTGAAAAAAATCCATGTATTTATGGCTAACCAATCTTTGACAAAGGTGCCAAGACATACATTAGGGTAAGGACTGCCTCTTCAATAAATGGGGCTGGGAAAACTGGATATCCATATGCAGAAGAAAGAAACTAGACCCCCATCTCTCACCAGGTATCAATCAAATCAAAATGAATTAAAGGCTTAACTATAAGACGTGAAACTATAGAACTGCTAGAGGAAAACATAGGGGAAATACTCCAAGACATTGGTCTGAGCAGAAAATTTATGGAGAAGACTTCTTAAGTGCAGGCAACAAAAGCAAAGATAGATTAATGGGATTGTATCAAACTAAAAAGCTTCTACACAGCAAAAGAAGCAACTAATAGAGCAAAGAGGCAACTGGCAGAATGGGAGAAAATATTTGCAAACTATCCAACACGGGATTAATATCCAGAATATACAAATAACAGCAAAAAAATCAAATAAGCTGATTTTAAAATGAGCAAATTGGCTGAATACACATTTCTCAAAAGAAGATGTGCTAATGGCCAACAGATACATGAAAAAATGCTCAAAATCACTTATCATTGGGAAAATGCAAATCAAACCCCAAATAAGATATTCTACCCCAGTTAGAATGACTATTATTAAAAAGACAAAAAAAATAACAAATGATGGTGAGGATGCGGAGAAAAGGGAACTCTTATACACTGTTGGTGGGAATGTAAATTAGTACAGCCATATGGAAAACTTTATGGAGACTCCTCAAAAAACTACAAATAGAACTACCATATGGATAAACCCCACTATTGGGTATTTATCCAAAGGAAAGGAAATTAGCATAACAAAAAACATATCTGCACCCCCATGTTTATTGCAACACTATTCATAATAGCCAAAATCAACCTAGTTGTCCATTGACAGATATGGTATATATCCACAATGGATTACTACTCAGCCATGAAAAAAGAATGAAATCCTGTCACTTGTGGCAACATGGATGAGCCTGGAAGACATTCTGTTAAGTGAAATAATCCAGACACAGAAAAGTAAATACTGCTTGTTCTCACGCATATATGGTAGGGAGTAGAGAGTAGTCTTGTGGTTACTAGAGGCTGGCAAGGGTAGGGGCAGGAAGGATAGGGCGAGGTTAGTTAATGGACACAAAATTAGAGATAAGAAAAATAAGTTCTAGTGGTGTACAGTAGTGCTAGTCATTTATAATTAACAATAATTTATTGTATACATCTAAATGGCTGAGGAGAGATCAAATGTTCTCATCACAAAGAAATAACAAATTTTTGCGATGATGAGTTTGCTAACTACCCTGATTTGACCACCACACATTGTATACATGTATGGAAATATAACTCTACCCCATAAATTTCTACAATCAATACATTCCAAATGAAAAATAAATTCCCTTTAAATTTTTTTTTTAATTTATGTTTTTTTAAAAATAAAGTTAAAATCTAACAAGACAGTAAAAAAAGAAAAGAGATAATATCAACCAAGTGTAAGGTGAGAACCTTATTTGGATCTTATTTCAAACAAAGTGAAAGAAAATGACATTTATGACATAATGAGATATTAGCAGATCATGATAATACGGAATTAATATTTTATGTGTGATAATAAAGTAATATAGTTATATATATCATAAGACAAATGTGGTGATTTGGGACCCCAGTTCTTCCTACCCTGTGAGGAAGGGGTAGATCACTCTGGTACTGGAGTTTATGGACGCCAGGCATCCTTGTCCCATTTCTCATCTTAGTAACCCTGTGTCTGGGTGGAAATGGTTCATGACCAGGGCTGTGCTTTCTCATAAAAATACTCAGCCCTTGCTTCTCATATTAAAGAAGCTAGGAGTGGTGTCAGGAGTTGCCTCGTGCTCTCTCTCTCTAATGCTGTCCAGGTCTGTGGCCATTTCCTGGTTATTTTTGGAAAACCTAAAGCACCCCACACAGTATCACTTCTGTTTCCAGTTTGGCAAGACACTAGAGCAGTGCTAGAGGTAGTGGGATTTTTTAATAGTTTAAACACCCTCCTGTTTATAATTTCTTAGAAAACTTCATCTCAGAGAAGCATTGTATAGATTTGATCACCTTTAAGTCCAATTTGATAAGTAATATAATCACATATTAGAAGACAAGGTATATTAGGCTAATGTAGAAAACTGAGGACAGATTATTTTGTTACTACTTTTAATAATGTTGAAAAATTTGGGGACACTGCAGAAGAAGAATAGACTTTCCTGCTATGTGACATTATTTAGGTGTTTCTTTCAATTGTGCATCTCCCAGTCTTTCCTCAGTTCTAATGAGCAGGATTTCACATGTCAGAGAGATACTTCCAGTTTAACACAATTGGAAGTCACTTCTCAAAAGAGGTCTGGGAGCAAGTTACCATGGAGATGGGAAAGATAAACAGGGCCGGGCATGCGACCTTTCCAGAGGCTGATTTCTCCGAACGATGGTGCAGGTCAAAGGGCAGAGTGAGAAGCTCATGCCGATGTTCCCTCCCCTGGATCTGGCCTTGGCCGAGGGGAGAATTACTGTTGCCAAATGAAGCAGTCCATTAACCTTCACAAGTCTGAACTCCCATTCCAATAACTGTGAAATAAATATAGGTGATGAAACCTGAGGGGCATCACTGGTGTGTGTAAGCCCTTTAGAAATGTAGGTACCTGACCTCCCATACAGATCTGGTGAGGTTTTCAGGATCAAAATGCTTTATTTGCAAGCTTGAGGCCTCCCTGGACAGTGCTACCTTCTCAACTCACCAAAGGAAATTAAAGCATTAACTGACTTGGTGTCAGAGGCTGCAAATCCCAGTGATTCTGTTCTACTGCAAATGTTTCCTGCTCATGCTGTTTATGTTATTAGCAACGTGACCTAACACTTCAGCAGCTGCAGGATGTCTTTTTGCCGCTTCTCACATTGGTTAATGTATTTGGAAATTAGTGTCTTTGGTTGCATTGGAACACGATCAAAAGGCAACTCATTAATGCTGTGGAGTTTAAAGTTCTGCTGCTCTTCTCAGAAGAATCGAAATGCTTTCAGTGACATCTTGCTGTTAGGAGAATAGATAAGTTTCTTGCTGGATAAATGAGTTTGCACTCTTGTTGGATAAATGAGAGGATCTCCAATGGCAATGTGCCTTACACAGTTTCTGGCCAAAGTTAAGGAAGAAAACATTTTCTTCTATAAGGCATGTACTTGGCAGTGCTAAATAAGTAATATAATAAATCACTTTCAGAAGAAGTACTTTTCCGAAAATAAGGTATCAGGTCACCTAAAGGTTAGCAGATATTGAAGACTATTTTGTTGATAAGGAGTAACAAAAGTCTAGGCTTTTAAGTACAAATAAATAAAAAAACCCCAACCAACCAAACCCATGGGTTCAAATTCAAGCTCTTTAAAATAAGGTATCAGGTCACCTAAAGGTTAGCAGATATTGAAGACTATTTTGTTGATAAGGACTAACAAAAGTCTAGGCTTTTAAGTACAAATAAATAAAAAAAACCCAACCAACCAAACCCATGGGTTCAAATTCAAGCTCTTTCCTATATTTGCTGTGTGATCTCAGACGTATTACTGAGTCTCAGTTTTATCACCTACAAGACAAGAATGACCAACTCATGGGTTTGTTGTCAGGTTTTAAACACTGGCACAATGTTAGAACAATATGCTTACTAGGTGGGAGATATTTTTATTATTATGAAGTGTAAATTTTCCTAACATATTTCATACTTGACTGTACATTATTTAATCTGTGATAACAATGGAAAATATTTATTAAATACTTTCTCTGTGCCAGGGGTCAGTACCATATACTTTATGTGTACTATTTCTTCTCCTCACTACAGTCCTGAAGAGTGGGTATTATTATTCCTATGTAATCAAAAAAGAAACTCAGGCTCAAAGAGGTCAACTGGCTGGTAAATAGTAGAGCCAGGATTTGAACTCACAGTCATACTCCAAAGGCTGGCCCTTCTCTGTACCATACTGCATTGGCTGGAGTGCTGATCTGTTTGCAGTCATCAAGGCACAGGTCACCAGAACACTGGCCTGTGTCTGGACTTGCATGGTGTGGTGGCAAAGGGTGGTGCTGAGAAGGTGGACAATCCAGAAGACCAAGATCTAGTCTGAATCTCCCTGTGCTTCAGCTTATTCATTTGTAAAATGAAGGCATTGTCTAGAAAATCACCAGTGTACCTTTCAGCTCTAAAGACACCATGATAATGTAATTTAACCTTGAGTAATTTCTGACAATCCCTGATAGCACTTTGGGGCCATGGCGTTTTTGACTCCAAAGGCCATGGGCAAATGCACTGGTTTAAGACTCACAGTGAACTGTGAGCTTTTTGTCATTACCAAGACTACTTGGAGAGGCAGTGGAGGGGGTGAGTTTTTTATTAAATGCCAGAAAGGAAAATGCAAAAGAGACAGCAATCCTATAGAATCAATTTAGTGGGCAGGATGCTGGTTTTCCCAGTTTCTGATCATTGTGCCTGTTGATGTGCCTGCCCCTGATTCCTGCAAGGATGACTTCAAATCCTTGATTATGTGGAGGTTCATTCTGCCTGAGCATTAGTCCGTTGATTCTTTAAAAAAAAAAAAAATTTACTGAGGTATAATTTGCACACCATAAAATCTGCCAATTTAAATTGTACAATTCAAAGGTTTTTAGTACATTCACAGTTGTGCAACCATTACATTTTAGAACATCTTCATCACACGTCCCAAAAAACCCTGTTAGCCCCCCTCACCCCCCACAACACATACACAATACCCCCCATTCCCTCACCCCTGAGCAACCATTAATCTGCTTTCTGTCTATATAGATTTGCCTATTCTGGACATTTTATATAAATAGAAGCATATAATATGCAGCCTTTGTATCTGACTTCTTTCACTATGCTTGATGTTTTGAAGGTTTATCCATGTTGTAGCATGTATCAGTACTTCATTCCTTTAATAATTTTCCATTGTACTGATATACACATTTTGTTTCTCTGTTTATAATTTGATGGACATTTGGGCTGTTTCTACTGTCTGGCTATTAGGAATAATGTTGCTAGGAACTTTTGTTTACAAATTTTGTGTAGACATGTTTTTGGTTCTTTTGGGTATGTACCTAGTAAAGGAATTGCTAGGTCAAATGGCAACACTATGTTTAACATTTGGAGAAACCACCAAATTGTTTTGTTCAAAGTGGCTGCACCATTTTATATTCCCACCAGCAATGTATGAAGGTTCTATTTTCTCCACATCATCATCCAACACTGCTATTGTCCACATTTCTTATTCTAGCCATCCTGGTGAAGTGAAGTGATATCACATTGTAGTTTTGATTTTCATGTCCCTGAAGACTAATGATGTTGAGTATCTTTTCCTGTGCTCATTGGCCATTTGTGTATCTTCTTTTGAGAAATGTTTATTTACAACTATTGATTCTTTGAGGCATTACAACAACCTTCTCAACTCTCCTCAAAAGACAAGAAAGGTGGTTGCTGTAAAGAATGCTCTACAGTTATGACCCCATCAGCAAGAAGCAGCTTTTCATAAAAGCCCTTGAGTGGGGGTCTGGCCCATGGCTCACTTGGGAGACTGTGGTGCTGATGGCACCAAGGCCACAGGTTCGGATCCCTATATAGGGATGGCCAGTTAGCTCACTTGGGAGAGCGTGGTGCTGACAACACCAAGTCAAGGGTTAAGATCCCCTTACTGGTCATCTTTTAAAAATAAATAAATAAATAAGCCCTTGAGTGGGAAGGGAAAAGATCTGGATTCAGAATTGGGATTCACAGAGCTCCTTGAGTATGTTGAAATCTTTACAGTCTCCTTAACATTAAAAGGGAAGCAGTTTCTGTACAAACCAAACCTTGCTTTTCAAACTTTAGTTGTTTGACATCATAGTAAGAATTTACAGTAGGACATTTCTCGTGTTTTGCTTTTCCTTCCAGAAAGTCAAGATGTACTTAAAATAATCATGTCTGCTCCGAGGGCAAAGGGAAGACAAAACTAACATTTATAAAAGCCTGCTGTGTGCTTAGCTATTTACATACCTTATTAAATTCTCACAGCCACCATCATTAGGTTGCCAGTATGAGACCCATTTTACTGATGAAGAGATTGAAACTCAGATAAACTGTCATTTCTTAAGGCCACCAAATCTTTAAGTGATGGGAACCGAACCAGGTCGGTCTGGCTGTGAACCTCAAGCGCTTTCCTTTGAGTCTGCTGGCTGCCTTTGCCTTGCTTGTCACTTAACATACAGAAGGCACACTCCATGTGTTCGTCAACAGACGGCCTAACTGTCCTTCCAGAAAGTATGCACCATATGCAGTCCCAACAGCATTACATGAGTATATACTCAACCAAATGTCCAGTCCCCGTGGCATTTTAACATTACCAAGTGGTTCCATTTTTGGTTAGTTTCTTTGCTTCAAATTGTTTGTAACATTTTCTTTTTATTGAAGGCAGCCTTTAAAATTTCTTTTAACTACCTAGCGAGCACTAACAGAGAAGACCAAGTTCTTGTTTATGGAAAACAAGCTCAGTTTGGATGTGTTTATTCTAACTTAGTTTTATTATTCATATTTTTTGCTCATATTTTTATTTTGGCTAATTTATGTATCATAGGCTAATAATGGTGAGTTTAACTCTCCTGCGGTTTTGTTTCAGTCACTCCGAGTTAGGTGGTATTTAAATTTTGATTATTCAGATATATAATTGTAAAATATGAATAAATCCAAGCCAATGAACATTGGTGGTGAGACAGTCTAACTTGTTCCTTCCTTTATTCATTGGATCAAGATTTCTGTGTCTGACAATATGAAGGATTAGATGACTTGAAAATCCTCCCGGTAAAAAAGAAAAACAGAGATGCTGACTCAGCTATTAAAAATGCCCTTGGAATTCACAGACAGCAATTGACCATCACTGTTAAGGATACAGGCTCTCCAAGCAAACTGGGATTGAAGATTTGAGAAGGAAGAACAAAGCATCATGAGTCACACACACAACTGTGTGAAAATCACACTCACTTTGTCTACTTTAGATTCTGAGTTCCTTAACAACTAGGCCGTATGAAGTTTTTATACTTCCAAGGATTGTAGTGGTGTACTATGTGATCGGGACATATCGCTGAATGAATTCATGAATATTCACTTTGTCTCCGGATGATAGTGAGGGGACCATGGCATAACATACAATTACAGACAAACACCACTTTCAGAAACTGATTTAAGAAATCTAGGCAGAAAATAGCTACATTAGGTGATAGTTAAAAAAAAAAAAAAAATTTCCCTATACATTTAAGTGCATATATAGACAGAATTTATGGCATGAAAGACTGGGAAAATTAAAACAGATGTTAATGGCCACTGAGTACTAAAGAGCAATCAAGGGGGAAAAATCTGAGATTATACTGAGTTAACTAGGAAATTATGATGAACACTTGATTGACTGTGCTTACAGCTGGTCAGAGACTCAGGTCAATAAATTCTTCTGTTACATCTTGAAGATCTACTTTCTAGTGTTCAGAGGATTTGGTCTTGCTGCTCCCATTTCCTTTGCCCAAGATGTTCCTCCCTAGGGAATGTCTACCTTCTCCTCCTGCCTTAATGAGGTAGATGGGTGGGATAAATGCTGTATTACTCCAGCCTTTCGAGGCTACCACCAGTACATCGAGGAAATGCTTCCTCCAGAAAGCCCTGCGCTGTACGGCCTCCACCCAAATGCTGAAATAGAATTCCTGACAGTGACATCCAACACTCTCTTCAGAACTTTGCTGGAGATGCAGCCCAGGAATGCACTCAGCAGTGAGGAACTAGGGCAGTCTACAGAAGAAAAGGTAGGGAGTCTTTCTTTTCTTTTTATTGAGGTATAACTTACAAGGGTGCTTCAAAAATTCATGGAAAGATTTGTATTATCTTTTAATTCCATTTCCACAAGCTTTTTGAAGTACCTTTGTATATACACTGAAGAGTACTAATCTTAAGCGTACAACTCAATGAAATTTTACCTATGTATATACCCACATAACCACCACCTAGATCAAAATACAGCACATTTCCAACACTCCAGAACGATACTTACCTCCGTTCCCAGTCAGGGAACCTCTTCATCCCCCAAAGGTAACCACTATCCCTCTATCGCCATAGATCAGCTTTGCCTGTTTTTGAACTTCAAATATATGGAATCCTATAGAATGTTCTAATTTATGTCTGTCTTTCACTCCACATTACATTGTGAGATTCACCAATGTTGTTGTCTGTACCAGTGGTTCACTTTTCTTTAGTGTTCTATTATATGAATATACAATTCTCTATCTGTTCTACTGTGGATGGACATTCAGGTTGTGTCTAGTTTTTCACTTTTATGAATATCACAGCCATAAACATTCTTATAGTCTGTTGTCAATAAATGAAACTCTCAAAGGTATCCATCCACTTCTCTATACCCAGGAGTGGGATTGCTGGATCATAGGGTATAATGTTTAACTTTAATGGTACTCCCTGTTTCCTAAAATGGTTGTACCAATTACACTCCCACCAGCAGTGCATGACAATTCCAGCTGCTATACCTTCTCGTGATTTTGTTAGGGGAAATAGTATCTCATTGTGACTTTAACTTTGCATTCCTCAGCTGAGGAATAACGTTGAGCATCTTTTCATATGCATAAGGCTATTTGGATAATCTTGTGTGAAGCACCTTTCCCAGTTGTTTGTCCAATTTATAATTGAGCTGTCAGTCTTTCTTAATTGATTTATAAAAACTCTTAATTCTGGATGTGTGTCCTTTTTCAGATATATGTACTACGAATATCTTCTTCAAATCTGCGGCTTGCTTTTCACTCTCTTAATGATTTTGGTTCTGTCGTTTTGATATAGTGTCTCTTTTATGTTGTCTTAGGAGACTGGCATTACTATTAAGTTATTGCCCTAAAATGATGGAGGTGCGAAATGATGGTCACATTTTATAACATTTAGATTAAAATCTTCTCATTAATTTAAAATCTGAAATTAACTTCCCCCCCAATAAATTAGCCCTTATCTCTCTCTCAAAATTATTAGTCAGGATTTGACTGACTAGCATGCAGGTTGTTGGAACCCACTAAACATCAGATTTAATTATACTAAGCACCCAGGAACTGTCCATTTTATTTCTTGAAATTTTTCAATTATTTTTTGAAATCAGGCCATTCATTGAGAACTCATAATTTGGAAGCTTTAGATTTGTTCTAGCATGTTTTATGCTATGTACTAACATCATCTATTTTAGAATGTTACCTTTTTATTTTTATTTTTATTTATTTATTTTTTTTGTCCTTTTTGAGACTGGCCGCACCACGCTCAGCCAGTGAGCGCACCAGTCATCCCTATATAGGATCTGAACCCGCGGCGGGAGCGCTGCTGCACTCCCAGCACCGCACTCTCCCAAGTGAGCCACGGGCTCGGCCCGAGAATGTTACCTTTTTAAAAAGATGATGCACAGTGAAAAAATGCATCCATGTGGAGGAAAGCTATAGTGTTAATAGAAGCAGAGAGTAGGATGGTCTGAACCTGATTATTGTGCATCCATCTCTCCAACAAGAAAGTTGATCCTTAAGCCAGAAAATTCAGAGCAAATGAGTTAAAGATGGGGCAAACAGATTGTAACAATCATTTACTNTGAGGGTTGTGATCCGTTGCCGGACACGAAAAAAGACAAAAAAAAAAAAAAAAGAAAGAAATCTAGGCAGAAAATAGCTACATTAGGTGATAGTTAAAAAAAAAAAAAAACATTTCCCTATACATTTAAGTGCATATATAGACAGAATTTATGGCATGAAAGACTTGGAAAATTAAAACAGATGTTAATGGCCCCTGAGTACTAAAGAGCAATCAAGGGGGAAAAATCTGAGATTATACTGAGTTAACTAGGAAATTATGAGCACTTGATTGACTGTGCTTACAGCTGGTCAGAGACTCAGGTCAATAAATTCTTCTGTTACATCTTGAAGATCTACTTTCTAGTGTTCAGAGGATTTGGTCTTGCTGCTCACATTTCCTTCGCCCAAGATGTTCCTCCCAAGGGAATGTCTACCTTCTCCTCCTGCCTTAATGAGGTAGATGGGCGGGATAAATGCTGTATTACTCCAGCCTTTCATCCATTAGGCACCTGTGTATTGAGCATCAGCATATGGCAGCAGGGTCTGTGGATCTGGAGATGAACAACAGAGGCTCTGTCCTGAGTAGCTCAAAGTCCTGGGAAGGTAGCATCAATTTGGCTCTTGGTGTATGCACACTCACACATATTTTTCAATAGATGCATATATAATGATTTATGTTTATAAAATTCACACGTATCATATGTAAAATGATTTGAAGTAGTACTGCAGAAAGTATGGTACACTGGGAAAGCATAGGCTAGAGTCATAATAAAATGAGTTTAGAATTACTATTAAAGTCAAACATCTGCCTGGGCAAGTTACTGTTGGAATCTCCATTTCCTCTCTGGGAAATGGGGATAGTTGGGAGAATCAATGAATTGAAGCTTGTAACAGGCTGACCAGGAGTCGGCACTCATTCCTTTTGTGTGTATGTAGCATTGCCCCAAGCACCCTGCAAAATAAGTCATCTTAGGGATGAGATTCATGCGTGTTCCTTGGAATTCTCCC